GGACTCCAAACTTTCAGTCATACTAATATCTTAACCTCCGGCCATTCTAAAAGCAGGAAAGAAATAACTCTACAAGAAGGCAGTATTGGTTTAGAGGAGGGTACTCCACAACTTCTAAAACACCTTAAAACCTTCAAGAAGAGAGATAATCCACTCTCTCCAAGAAAGATAAGACTCTAATATTATAATAGAAGAAATATCAGTTTAGAGGAAGGTAATCCACAACCTCTAAAATGCCAACACCTTCAAGCAGAGGGATAATCCACATTCTAATAAGAAGGAACTAGCTCTGATATGAAAGATGAATGTAGTCTCGACAAACTATCACAAATTTAGAATACTGACTTAAAATCTAAACAATAAGCTCAAGAAGAATCGGCAAGAACTAGATTAATCAGATGAATACAAAAACAACACTAGAGAGGTGAGCTAGAGCTCCAAGAGATGTGTTGGCGAAATTGAGGATCCCCTCAGTCTCACCTCCTACATATATTACAAGCTAGGAAGCTTTTCAAGTAGCTTCCACACACTGCAAAGCTTCTCTAGAATCTTCTAAAATCTTCTACAACATCCTAGTATATGTCCTTGACAATATTTGGCATAAAAAACAATAAATCTTCTAATATACCATGTCTAAAAATATTTAACTTATATCTAAAGAAAAAAATGTTGGATGTTATTAAAAATGGTATTTTATTATAAAAAGCATAACTTAGAAATGTATAAAGGATTTGATTTTTGAATAATTTCATTTAAAACCTGAATTTATTTTTATAATTTATTTTTTAAAAATGAGATCTTTAGAATTATTTTTAAAAAAAAATTAAACACTTTAATAATTCTTACACCAAGCAATCATAAATCCATTCATGTACAAATCTCAATTCCCATTAATTTAAAATTTTAATTTTTACCAATCCTTAATGACCTAAAAGTAACCTTATGAAAATTTAAAACATATTGATGACAAATTTTAAATGAATTCTAATAATAATTTGATAAAATCTTTAATATACTCCATATAAATCCTATAAAATCCTAAAATATCATAAAAAAATTTAACTTTTTAAAATCAAATCCTAATAAAATTTTAATTATTCTAATAAAAATTATTGAAAAAAATCTTAAGAACTATAAGCTGACTCCATCATATCCTAAATAAATCTTTAAAAAGTCATCAAATTCTAAAAAATATTATCAGATTCTAAAAAAAAAAAAAAAAAAAAAAAAAATTAATTACTTTGAATGAACTCTAAAATAGTTTTAAATAATATTAAGAGATCTTAAGAAAATGATAATTAAAAAATAGATTTTTTTCTAAACTGTGAATCTTTTTGTATCATTGAATCAAATACAAATAATTTATGTTGCTAGATATAATGGTTATAAATAACTTTATCAAATTTTAAATAGTAATATTACATAACTTAAAAGATGTGTTTAAAAAACAGACCAGATGTTTGGCAACATCATTTTTCTATTTTGATATAATATTTTTAACCATAGGATTTCTTCTTTCCAATATTAATATAGACTAAAACTTATTATCAAAATTTTCTTTGAATTATTTACCAGTATACTAACACGTAATTTAATAAATTTAGTAGATTATTACTTTAAAATAATATTTTTATTAACTTCAAAACTACTAACTACCAATATCTTATTGTACTTATATTTTAAAAGCTTTTAATCTATTCTTAACTTTAATCCAAAGATAATTGCATTGATTATTTTTTATATTTATTATTACCTATTTTACTTTATCTTTTTTCATGTATATCCCTAAAAAGTACATAGAAAAAAACTCTTTTGTGCAAAACTTACCATAAAACATTCAATTTTTAACTATGTTCAATCGATAATTTGTTTTTTTTTAGAAAAAATTCTATAAATTTTTTGATGCTTTTACGGTATAATATGTTGCATCATGATAATAATAGATATTATCAAAACCAAAACAAAGATGCCTTTAAAATACTGAATCAATAATAGTAACTGATATGTCTTTCCTTCTTGAAGTTGGTTCAAACATATTAACAAACATTCTTGTTCTTGATGTTAAAAGTAACTTTTATAATAACTTTAATAGATTTTATTTTAAAGACAAAATTATTTATTATAAATGACAATGATATATATTCCATAAGATCAAGCACAAAATGACTTTCTATTTGTAGAGTAATTTCAATATAATAAAGCTATAGAGATTATTCAAGAGATGTTTATTAACTTCAAAAGTAAAAAAGTTGTCAATTTTTTTGTTTAAATGTGTCATCCTTGCACTTAAGTAAAGACTCTAAATCATCAATCCAATGAACTTCAATCTTTTTTATATTCCCAAGCAATCAATTTATATGAAGGTTTTGAATGATAATTTTTAACATAATACAAAAAATTAATATAAAATTATTTATATGTTTTTAGTCTCAAATTAATAAATTAATACATAATGTCAAGTTGTAACATAACTATTGAGTAAAGAAATATATAAAGTCCAATATTTAAAAAGAGTCAAATTTTAGATTTAGTTAAAAAATTCTTCACTCTTCATATATAAAAGATAAAAAGGAGTAGAAATGTTAATATCATGCTACCATTTATGCTAGAAAGACTTCTATATATGTAAACTAAAATAAATCCCCACTAGTTGGAAGTCTACCTTAGTTCACAATAATTTTAATTATCTATCAATTTTATTATTTTATGATTATCATTCGATTCATGTCCAACAATTTCCAAAACTCTCCAATTGTAATCTAAAATAATTCCTCTTAATAGGCAATTTATTCTAGTTTACAACTATTAATTAATTTGTGAATTGATTAAATAAAATGCCTTCTACTTCATACTAAAAGACTTTTAAGTTCTCCTAACTAATTCAATGTCCTTCACACATCCATAAGCAATAATACAAGAAATATAGAATACTTCAAAATCTACACCCTTCAAAGGGAATTTTCATATGATTTTATTTCTTTTTAATTTTTGATATAATTTTTATGTAGTATTATTGTTCAATAAAAATCATCCAAGTTTAAAATTTCATCCACAAACAAATTCTCATCCACAAATGAGTTTTCATCCATAAATATTTTTTTATCTAAGAATAAAATTTTATCCACTCACAACCAACATTCATCCATAATTTACCATCCATTTAAATCCTAAATTCTTCCATGTTATAATTTCATTAGATCATGACATTTGATTAATAAATTATTGTTCTACAACACTTATCATGTATTTATCATGTGTTTTATATATCTCTTCTTCAACTTTATACTACAATCAAGATATTAGAAAAATAAAAATAAAAATAAAAATATTACTACTTTCTATTAAAATAGAAAAAAACCAAGAGTTTAAAGTAGGAGAAGTCTTCGACTCAAGAAAATATTGAAAAAAATAGGATATTTTATATATTGGATATGATATTATTAAATGTATATGAAAGCAATATGAAAATCTTGCAAATGCATCAAAACTTGCTCATTTTTTAAAAAATTATCATCTATTAAAACCAAAGACCAATTTTAGATAACAAGATTGTATAAATAAATAAAAATATAGGTCTAAAGTTTTTTTTGTTACTCAAGTAAATAGAAGTAGGAAAATATGTCAGGTATATATTATCTATTTTTTTTTAAAAAATAATAATTTAGACACAAATCAAATAATTAGTTTCTTATAGATACACAATGTGGCTATTGAACTTATTCCACACTTTTTTATTTTTAACAAGCCATGTTTGTAAGAAATCTACAACTTGACACTTAGTCCACAAGTCTTGTTATTTTTAAAAAACTTCCACAAGATCTTATTTGTGGGTAGTATATATAGAAACATGAAGAAGGCCACTTTTAGCCTTGTCGATGTCTTTCTTGTATTTAAGTCTTAAATCAATAATCTCTAACTTCTTTGAATTTGAAAATTGTCATCCTAATTCTTTTCTATCATACATCTACATACTTTATACTTTCTTTTTCTCTTCTTCAATGACATATAAATGTGTTGACTTTTGAGTTTTGTCTAAATTCATGTCATTGATAACTATTATTATTGTGGTATTCATTTTTTTAATATATCTTAAATTAATTCTATGATTTTTAAAAATAAACTAATCTTTTAAATTACAATCTATATTTAAATCATCCTTTAAAATCAGAACATTTAAAGTATATATGTTTAAAATAATAGTATAATAATAATACATAACTTAGAATTTTAATTAATAATATAAAATTGTAGTATCTTTTAGATAGATATATATATATATATATATATATATATATAGATATTCTTCATAATTACAAAAACTAATAAAATAATATTTATAAAACTAATCTCAAATCAAACATAGTAGAAGCAAGCCAAAAGATTATCCATATTGACAATTAATTTCTAGATAATAAAACTATAATCACAATAGATCCATACTACAAGAATACAAATAATAATTGAAGCTGTTATAACAAATATATATATATATATATATATATATATGTATATCAAAATTTAACATGCTTTAAAAATAAATCATGTAAAAGGGATTACATACAAACCCAAATGTTTTCAATAATACAAATAAATTTATTAAACTTTCAAAATATAATAATGTTTTACATAAAGATTCACTTATTTTATTGAGTAAGTTTTAAACATTAGCAACATCGATTTTGTAACATCACAAAAAATCTTAGATTATTTTGAAATGAACAATCTAATATCTTCAGAATTGAACAGAACGAAGAAAGACACAAGCAAACATTCAAATGTGTCTTGCCATTGTGCCCAAAGCAAGACTTACATGCGAACCACAACCATCATGAAAAACACAAGCCTTTCTCATTTTCTTTCCTTTCTTCTTCCCAAATTCACTCCCAATGTCCAAAAGAAACATTCTTCATCACGTGCACAGATCGCAAAGTCACTGCAAACCAAAACACCTCTCATCAATAAACATCAACAATAACAACAACCAGAGTTGCAAAAAATACGAAAATGGGGGAGAGGGGAAATGCATGCGGAGTGAGTGAGTGAGTGGCGGTGTCGGCAAGTGCATGACCTCCGATCGTCACCACCATCGTCGCCGCACCCTCTCCCTCTCTTCTACAATGCTTCCATGCTTCCACTTCGATGTGTACTCGTGTTGTTGTTGTTGTTGTTGAACTCATTCCAATCAAAGGTCTTCACACGCATGTGTTCTCGCGGATTGTATGATCCCCGGATCGCTTACTCTTGACGTGGTTGTCGTGGACCAGAACCCTGAAGCTTCACCACTGGAACGCCGCGACGAACTTCGGCGATGGGAGGGGGGGAGTTTCGTTTTGTTCTCTTGGGATTTACATCCACTGGACGAGTGGGTGTCGTCTGCAAATTTGGAGCGAGTGAGGGACCAATTTCGTAGAACAGGTACTCAGTTCGCACTCTCACGTTTTTACTTCATCCGTTTGTCAGCCATGCGTTTGTTTACAGACATAGGTGTTGGGTAGCTGCCTCAGATTTTGTGAGCACCGTATTGACGGGCACCCAATTGTTGTGAGTCTCTAGAATATTGGTGGAAGGGGTGCAGGGTTTAAAGTGTGGGGTTTAGAAAATAAACACACGCACGGAATCATTTGTGAACAATTAAATAGGGACACGAAATCATTTATGAACGATCAGACAGGGATAAGAGTTTAAGGTTCGTTAAAACGCTCTGGTGCGAGGAGGCATTAGGGTTTTCTGTTCATCCAGTGCCAGCTGGGTGTCTAATCCGCCATGGCGTCGAGTGAGTGAGTGAGACAGTGAATGAATGAGCGAGAAATGTGAGTACCATTTTGTACAGAGCGAACTACGGCACTGTACTGGATGCGGATCGAGGGTCAACTCTGGGTGCTTATCCAGAGGAATACCTGATTAGGAACTACATGGGATTGGGTGGGACAAGCCTCGAAATGGAGGGTCAGGTGGTTCAAAACAGAAATGATTCCAAACACAGATGAACCTTGCCCAGATATACGTTAAGCGCCGGCCTGGCTCCATTTTTGATGACGCCGTATTTATCTGAGAGCTGGAATAGGGTCGCTTTATTTTGAAGAATCAGTACATTTAGCAAGCTTTCAGTCCATCTGGGAGTCGGAAACTCGGCAACATTGTTTTTGTACTGGAGTGGGTCAAAGCCCCGGCTCGATTGGTGAGTTGTGAGCGCTTTTATTAGGGAGGTGCGCGGATTGTGGGTTTGTATCGTTTTGCAGCAAGTTTATTCCCCGAAACGTTCGCCTTCCTCTTCCCTTTCCTCGAAGCGGTTGTGAAATGCTCGATGACTTACGAGGAAAATGTGGTTGTTTCCAAAAAAGCTTGACAAGCCCAGGAATTGAACTTCGGAAGCAGCGAGACAACTCCTGATCAAATAATAATAGAATATCATTGACACCTGTGGTAGATTGAAAGCATACAGCAGTTAATTGTCACTTACCCAACTGCTGCAAAGAGCTTCGTAATTTCCACAATGTCTTCTTTTGTATCAATCGAATATTCCTCAAAGCAAATTTCGTGGTGAACGTCAAATCACAGACACGTCTTCATTCCCTGACCTAATTGACTTTATCTCCATTGATGCTTCACATGATTCTCACTATGGACGTTATTTTGGTTCTAGTTCGGGAATTGTGGCTCAAACCCGCCCTCGGATAAAAGTAGAAGAAAGAATGTCTATATCTGCGAACAACAGACCAGAAAATTGCTGCTTCTGAAATCATTGTTGAGGCAGAACAAGTCAATGCTGGCTTCCTGCTTCCTACTTCCGATAATGTGAGGTCCAGCAAGTCCACCACATTATAATACCCTGCTATGATTATTCTTAGTTCCGTTGTTTGCTGTTTATTTTAATTTTTGTGTTTTTCAAGACTTTGTCTTTTAAAAGCTGGCCTGATGGATTCAGCATCGTCAAAAATTGCTGGACTACGACTGATCTGAAATCTACGGATACACGAATCAATGCTGCGGAACATGTCGTGTAAATAAAAGTGGATATTGCCGGTGAAGTGAAAAACCGTGATGAGATAGTTTCATACTATTCCGAGCCACGCCCATTTGTGACCCAAAGATGCGGTATTCAATTGCAGTCCATAAACCTGATCCCGCAAGTGGACAACGATAATAATCTGTGTGCAACTCTGCAAACTGTCATGCACCCAAACTGCTTTTTCCAGTGGGTTTTATCATTGCGTTAGAAAATCAGGAGAATAAATGATGGAGGATCGAAAAGAATATTCCCAAAATTCATCTTCATTTTGTGAGCATTCTTAAAAACGGCGAATGGTCTAATTTCATCAGACATGGTTTTCTGTTTTCTGTTTTCTGTTTTAAGTTTATTTTATTTTATTTATTTTTGCATTTTAACAGGTGCACAAGACGTTGAATGCACTGAGGACGGATTGATTTAAAGATATGAATAATCAGAGCAGCTGGAGCACAAAATGGTCGAGTGGACTTGTCAGCAGAATGGCAGAACGATCATTTGCCGCGACCAGCACAGTGTTTGTCACACGAAAGTGAGGTACAACGCAAGAATCAACGGCGACCCCTTTTAATTTTCCTCTTCCGAACTCGTAAACTACAGGCCCACGGTTGCAAGCAGATGACAAAACCGCGTCGGGACTGATGAAACCTCTGACGCCTGCAGCGGCAGCAACGAGAGCAATAATGCGTTTGGCCATGTATGCTCTCTGATTGCTCATGCGACACTAATTGAGCTGTAAGTACAATCGCTAGATTCATCGCAAGGCCAAAAGCCAACGTGGGTCGTTGCACAAGTTGCTGTCGAGGGCACAGAAAAAAACACTGCGAGCCTCTGGGTACAAAGTTGACTCAGGGGGCGGTAAAAAACCGAGAGTGACGCCGAACAGGGGTGATGAATCGCCCGAATCAGCAGGTGGGGTGAAAGTTCAAGTGGTCATCGTCCGCAACGGACGCGCACCTGTGATGTTGGGTGGAAATGGAAATGGAATAATTATGATGCGTGTCACGGAGTGTGGAGGTGGACTGTTCGACATGTGCGCCAGGGGGAGGGGGGGGGGGAGGCGGGGGAGTAGGGGGGAATGTTGGGTTGTCCACTGGTGAAGGATAACATGGGACGATCAGGAGGCAGGAGTCCAATGCACAACACGCAACTGCAGATTGCTGCCGTGCCCCAAGCGACGAGCAGGAGCTTGGTGCCGCGGTCACTCCATTGCACCAGATATGCTCTGGAGTATTACTGAACACCACAGAGCTCGCGGAGTTTTTGAACTCTGGAAGTCCCTCCCAGAAACAGCTCGCAGGGCATTTGCAGCAGAATTTTCGAGCGGGGGGGCTTCGAATGCGGAGCCGTGTGGTCCGAGTGATTATTCTCGTCAGTGTGAGCTAAGATCCGGCCATTTGGAGGCGGTGGGTGTGCGTAGCGAGGCTGTTGCTCCTACACTTTGCAAGTGTGTTTCCTCCTCCTCTTCAGTTCTGTCCATTCTGCTCATAGATCCTGTTTGCAAGGCACCTCTCTCGTTCCTGTATCTATTTATTTTTAAATTTTTAAGCAACATTTTTTCGATTCTCTTTCGTACAGTGGGCGTTTGAAGTTTCGAAGGGTGTAACTACTGCGAGTGCTCCTTGCGCTTTGTTTCATAGCTTTGTTTTATTCGATTTTCTTTTGTTTTTATTTTTGTGGCGACTCCATTGCCTCGCGAACGCACCTTCGGATCTGTTCTCATACGATTACTTTGAGTGATTATGCGAAACTTATTCGCTTGCTTGGAGACGATCTCTTCATCGTCCTCTTTGGAGGTAGTGCGCGCATTTGCATACATGGAGTGATCTGTGAATGCATCACCCTCCGCTTGAGGTCTACTCATTTTATTTGTTTCTCTCACGAAACGTTATTCATCCATCAGTATCCGGCGCTTGCAAGGTTCAAAGCCTCGGGAGGGCAATCTCCGTGTGGAAATGAATCTGTCGATGGACACTTCCGGAGCTCTAGCGTCTGTTAGGAACAGAAATTAAACTATCCTGAAATCCATTTATTTTGTGTCTACCTCGTACTGTTTCACGTTTCGAACGAAAATAATTGAGATTTCCAATTGCGGCTTCAGAAGTCATACGTTGCTTCGTTGAATTTTGGTCGAAGTCGGAGCCGAGGCTTCAAAACGTTGTAATTTTTTGCTATTTCGCGACTGACTGCGCTGTTTGCAACAGTAGGCTCTTATCTTTCCTGAATTGCAGATCTTGCACAGTGCTGGGACATGGATCAGAAACGCTTGGTTGAATTTTTACGCATTGATTCTCCGACTGCTTGTCCTAGTTCCGCATTCATGCTTCCTTGCCATGAATGAAACGATTCGAGTACTTTTTTTTATATAGGTTGAGAATATTAAGGTGGTTTGACGTTGAACTTATAAATCAGGTCTCGAGGAGGAAGCCTGGAAGTTCGATACGAAGTTAACTGTTGGGTCTTAAGCCACAAGGGGAGATTCCCAGCATACGCATTTTGCGAGAAGCGAGGCGGAGGGATCTCGATGTACGACTCCCTCAACGGTTCCCTCCAAAATCCACTTCTCATGAGAATGCCTCCGTCTGTGCTTGATGAGTTCCCCTCCACCCCCGGAAAGGTTCGCAATCAATTCGCATTGTTGTTACATTCCACTCATGTTCCTGAAGAGCGCTGCAGTTGGTAACATCCTGATGGATTCAATAGTTCACGGCTCCTAATCGCATCAATGAACTTCTCCTATCCTATCATTGACTGCTCGAGCTCCCGCTTGGGTAGCTCCTCTGAGAAATCTCTCGATTTAAGCTCGTCGTGATCAATTGCAAGCGAGCCTGAAACGTACATGGCTGTGATCTGTTCCGAAGGCTATGGAAGATGTTTAACAACCAAGCAGAAGTATCTTTACTGAAGGTTTCAGTGTTGATCTGCAGGTGAAGATGGAGAGGAGCAACTACTTCGGGCGAGTGGGATCGAGATGGCATTCAAGCGTGTCAGCGAAACTTCTGTGCCTCACTTCTATCCTGCTCCTCTTGACGATTTCTGCATTCTTCTGGGTGAGCTCCGCTGGAATAGACAGCCAAAGGCCGCCAACGTTCCAGCGCAGCCATGAGTGGGAGAAGCGGGTCCGACAGTCATGCCTACCTCGACGAGAGGACAATCCTCTCGTTGTGTTGGTCACCGGCGCCGCAGGTTTCGTCGGCTCCCATGTATCACTTGCCTTGAGAAAACGTGGTGATGGAGTTGTTGGGCTCGACAACTTCAACAGTTACTACGAGGTTTCATTGAAACGGGCTCGCCAAGAGCTACTTGCGAAGCACAGCGTGTTCGTCATCGACGGCGACATCAACGACAAATTCATCATAGAGAGCATCCTCGAGGCGGTTCCGATCACGCACGTCATGCATTTGGCCGCCCAGGCTGGTGTGCGCTACGCTATGCAAAACCCACAATCTTACATTCACAGCAACATCGCAGGATTGGTAAACATCTTCGAAGTTTGCAAAGCAGCTAACCCCCAGCCGGCTATCGTTTGGGCGTCATCCAGTTCTGTATATGGACTGAACACTAAGGTTTGATCGAAGAGCTTTTCTGCACTCCTTCCAGCTGAATGTACACCACTACCATGAGCTAATCGGGGGCAGAAATTCAAGGTTGGAGATAGCTGGGCGTACTTTTCCTCATAATGTGAGTGTTGATCTTGGCAGGTGCCGTTCTCTGAGGCCGACAGGACAGACCAGCCAGCGAGTTTGTACGCAGCAACAAAGAAGGCCGGAGAGGGGATCGCTCACACTTACAACCACATTTACGGTCTCTCCATCACAGGACTAAGATTTTTCACAGTCTATGGTCCGTGGGGGAGACCAGACATGGCTTACTTTTCCTTCACACGCGACATTCTCAAGGGCAACCCAATTAGCGTCTACTCCGGTGCAGGCGGAAAAGACCTAGCTCGCGACTTCACCTTCATCGACGACATCGTGAAAGGATGCGTCGCCTCACTCGACACGGCGGAGAAGAGCACCGGCAGCGGGGGCAAAAAGACAGGCCCCGCAATGCTGCGCGTCTTCAACCTCGGCAACACTTCCCCCGTGACAGTACCGACTCTAGTGGACATCCTCGAAAAGCACCTGAACACGAAAGCGAAACGGCAAATCATCAAAATGCCGCGCAACGGCGACGTCCCATTCACGCATGCGAACATATCCTCCGCGCAGGCTCAGCTCGGCTACAGACCCACAACCAACCTCGACACGGGGCTCAAGAAATTTGTGAAATGGTATCTCAGCTATTACGGCGACAACACGAATCGAAGGTTATGGGTGGGAAACCATGAGAAAATTATCTAGTCTCTAAGCAAAACCCAGAGCTCGTTACACACAACGCCATGTCCAAATTCTTTGGGGTACAAATTCAGTGAACATCCAGCGCAACCAGCAATGAATTCGACAATTCGCACATAAAATCCAGTCAATCCAGGTCGGAACGCGACGGATGCCATGCATTTGTTAACACCAGCAATGCCTCGCGTAGGGGACACCATCGTAGGTGCTGGGATTGTGGCAAGTTGGGGCTTCAAGGGGCGATGCGCGGAGACCCATGCCCGGTGTGGCAGTGTCCGTGCCTTCGAGGAGGCCCTGTGGCTGTGTGCCCTGTCACCCTTTCCCGCACCCAACTGCTCGAATTCTATTCTTTTATCATTCTTTCCTATCCTTTGTAAACCCTAAATCCTAAACCCTAAGCCCTATTCCCCTTCTCCTGGTCTATTACTGCCTCTCCCCTCCCCCCCCTCGCCACCTTCAGTAGCTCGGGGTTCAGCCACCATTGCTTGCTAGCCCCTTATGAGGTTTACACCCTTTGAAAAGACTTCTTTCTGGGTGATTTTGTTCCTATATAGCTAAAAATGATCCATAAATATATTGAATGCTTATTGAGCATGAGTTTGTTTGCTTATGGTCATGATCCAGTCTGAGTTGCAGTAACAATCAAAATTAAACAAACTACAAATCGAAATGCCTCATTTCAAGGCTTAAGAAATAATTCTATGCATTTTTGTGTTGACTTAAATGTACTTCGTGTTGTACCCAGTAGTTATTTTTCTAAGAATTTTGCGAAACTATTGGAAATGTTCTACTAAACATGCTCGACATGAGGGAGACAATTGATTCTCTATGTGTCCAGTAAGATATTCAGTTTTTGAATAGCTCATTACCTCATTAGTTTTGCACCTAAAGTCACACGTTTGACATTAAATTCAAAAAATATAGAAGACCTCTGAAATGTTAAGCTTCCAAATTATGTCACAACTAACTTTACACTGTAATTATTAGAATTCAACAACACTTAATAGATTTGGAATATTAGTATTAAAACTGCTTCTAATATCTTCTTTGCTAAAAATATATCAACAGAACTAATACCTGACTATTAAAAGTGCAAAAATGTCAACCTATATGTTGCAAATTTGATTATTCTTGTTATTTCACATTAAACTTATTTCTATCATAGCATTATTTTTCTTATTTTGTTATGATCATTTGTATCAAATAAACTAAAATGGAATACACACCTAAATTTCCTGAGGAGTACTTGTAAAGGAACATATTGTAACACATTCATACTTATATACATTCTAAAAAAAACAATATAATAATAGTAGTTCATATAATGAATAAATTATTGTAAACACAGGTACGTACTCATTTATCTTCTTGAATGCAACATATAACTTAAAATAGATCAATATGTGATGTTAATCTAAGAACCTAAACGTTATTCGTACAAATTAAAACTAATGGTTACTACTTTAAAAAAACCCTACGTCCAATCCGAAGTAGGCAGTACATAAAAGGAAACATTTGACCATATTGATTTGTCCACATCAACTGATCATGTGCATAAGAAGAAGAAACTATTTAAAACCAAACCCCAACTGTACAATAATTGTGTGCAAAAGCAATTTGCCAAGGAATTTGCAGTTGGCACAAGGATGAGGAAGAAGGCGAAGACGACGAAGACGAAGCTATGGCGTAATGGAGAAGTTAGGGTTTGCACGCCAAATATGCTTCCCGCTCAAGCGTCTCAACTCGGCGGAGCCCCGTTTGCGGCACTACTTGGACCTCCGATGCCTGATCCTGCGACTGAGAACAGGTGACCCTGCGGCGCGCCAAACGCATGCGAAGAGATTCGTCCGACTGCGGGGTGGCTGAAAATGTAGTCGTGCGATTTGTCGAAACCTTGCGACCTCGATACTGGCTTGCCTCGGTTGTGGATGGTGTCTGTGTTGTGGTTGCGAGCTGGAAGGGCGTTTTTTCTGGATACATTGATTCATTGCTTCGACGTTTTCGCTCGCTTCCGAGGTATATTTTGCCGTTTCTTTCACAATTCAAATTTTAATTTTCTAAACACAATGAAAATGAACATAAAAATCTGATTCAGGTCTTTCAGGGTTTGACTTACTGTGCGAGGATGGCTGGATTTCTTTGTCGTTGTATTCTCGTGTTCTTGCTCCTCTCCTGCCAGTGCTGAGAGAATAGTTTCCATCTCTGTTAGTGTAGGTTCTGTTTTCCGAAACGATTTGCGATTTCCAAGCTTGATGTGGTGCTGTGAGAAGCTCTCAGAACGTTGCATTGTAGAATGCTACCCTAGGACTGTGGACATAATTTGCATTTCCGACCTTTAATCTAGCATTGTGGAGATTCAGAATCCGTTATAGCAATAAGTGGCAAACTTGTGAATCAACAGAAGCAGCTGCCAGGTGACAAATCTTTCTAACACCAGGATTTGGAAATCACTAGGATACCACACAGAGGGTTAGAATCCGTCGCTCGGAACTTGCTCTTACTGTGCGTCAAGAGCTTAGATCAACTTCTTCTACGATTTCATGTGTGCTTTGCTTATTCTTCTCCGTGAAATGCTATTTTTGTCAATGCCTAAGCTCGTTAGTAGTCTTCTGTTAATTAGGTTGATGACAGTGCACGGTGATAACTACTCGATGGTTCAAGCCATTAATGTACTTAAACGGGTATAACGAGCATTAGTGAGTGGCACTCCCACCTGATTCAAATTTTACACGTTAATTCTCCCCGATTCCAATACCTCCCCAGACAATCTCCTGTCAATTGCAAAACTGCACCACCGCATATCATTTTGCTCATATGTGGACACATGGCGTTTCTGCACCTGGTGTCTTACCCACACTGTAGATTGTCTCTTGAACGGAAGGCTTTCCCGGTGCTTACTTCTAGAACTGGATGCTATAACTTTGTGATTCATCTGGGCTATATCTTTGTCTTTGACTTAGCATGCATTTGAAGCTTTACATGTCTAGTTTGAAAGCAAAAGTGAAATTGTGCATGTTTGGAGAATTTGTGTGGGAGATAATGTCTTCGATTATTGTTGACTTTGTGAAAGCACGTAGGTTGATATGCAGAAAATCTTTATTCCCTTCTTATCGCTTGTCATGAGTGCAGCATTTATGTATAACGTATCTATTCTATCATAGTCAAGCAAGTGTTAATGCTGTTCATGATATTAACGACAACGAGTGCTTGAAGTCTGCTTTTCATTTAGAGGCTTTAGTTGGTTTCAATGGTTAGTGTAATTGTCAAGTATTTTGCACAAAATTGAAAGTTGAATTTGTGGATGTTGGTTATGGTTAAGTGCCTCGTAGAACTGCGATGTAGGGTTGGATTGAAATTCGTTTATTCCATTGCAGAGCTAGAAGAACGGTGAGACAAAAGACGGCTTCTTTGTAGAAAATGACGGGAAGCAAGGCATCAAAACGGAGGAGACGGGAAAACTCAGTTCATTATTCATCAGATTCTACAGAGCAAGAAGTAGTCTCAGATGGACAGGAATATTGTCACGAATCGAAGGGGAAACGGAAACTTGGAGAAGAAGATGTTCAAAAACCAAAAGAAGACGGGAAAGAAGTGGATCTCTCACTTCTGGATGAGGAGAAGGTTGTACAAGTATGCGGTATCTGCTTGACCGAGGAGGAAGCTGAAAGAGGGAAGCTTGATTGCTGCGACCACTATTTTTGTTTCGGATGTATCATGGAGTGGTCAAAAGTTGAGTCCCGGTGTCCATCGTGTAAACAAAGATTTTTGACAATTGTAAAGCCTTCAGTGCCTGGCATATCACGCAGCCGACCACGCATTTTTCATATTCCTCATAAGGATCAGGTATTTTTACCTTATTGGCGTTAATCGATGTTTTTACTTTATCGATTTGTTGGCTTTTCGTATGTTCAATGTTTGTTTTGTTTTGTTAATTTCCTTTTTCTATGAGTTTTGCAAAACTTAGCAATGAGGTAGTTGGTAGCAGATTTCGATAGTTTTGAGTTATTCTTCATCCTTACAGTGGTCATTAACTCATTTGAAAATCATGAATGACAGGTTTATCAGCCGTCCGAAGAAGAGATTCGTCTCTTTACGGATCCATATCTGGACGTGGTTTGTTCTGTGTGCCAAGAGGCTGGAGATGAAGGGGTTCTTCTTTTGTGTGATGGATGTGATTCAGCAGCTCATACATATTGTGTTGGTCTAGGATTATCTGTTCCCCGTGGAGATTGGTTTTGCAATGCGTGTTCTATTGAGCATCGAGGTTTCAGTACTGATGACGACGATGAGGTAAACAACGAAGCTGAAGAGAATGACAGCACTCCTTTGCTTACTTTTGTTATAGCCAATGTGCAGCCTGTCCCTCGGAGACAACGTCCCCGACGATCTACAGCCTACCGTTCGAACCAAGTTGGTCGTAGGTGAGTAAGGCAAGTTCATGTGACCAAATTTCACAGTAACGATTTTATTTGTGGCCTTTGATTCGATTTTTATAATGTGACCTCATGGAGATTTTATCTTTGAGCCATTAATTTAACTGAAGAGATTGAGATGTACTTTCTATGTTAATCATTTGTGGTCGATCATGAGCAAAGCCTTTGTTACGATTGGTTCAATACATTGAATTGTACATAACTTTTGGGTATTTCTATCATAGTCCGTTCTTTTCAGTACGCGCCCTAACTTTCAAGCAAGGCGATAAGTCTGAAGGCATTGAGTTCACTCACTATGATGAACTTTGTTTTTGGCAGACACACTCGACTCCACCCATTTCCTGCACTTTCAGAAGAAGCACAAGCTTTAGCAATCCAAGAAGAAAATCTATCCGGTTCGTTGATCGATGATGTAGAGTCTACGCAAGCAAGTGCACGCACCTTATCTTCGCAGCGGATCATACGCCAAAGAGTTAATGATTTTCGGAACCATTGGGATCAATTACGAAGAGGAGAGCTGCAGTTTGGATCGATTTCACATTCAGCTCCAAGGACACGAGCATCGCAGGCTGGACGGAATCAATCCAGCGCGATTGCTCCAGCTGCACCAAGTAATGATATTTCTCAAGCATGGGCAATGATGGAACTTGCTCGGACTTTGAGAGCAGATAGGGTAGCCTCGAATTCTGCACCTACTACTAGAACTGTCGTACATAGAGAAACCACGCGGGGAAGGATACCTACTATTGAAGGGACTTCAATGCCCTCATCAAGGTTCAGTCAAGCTCAAGAGCCGAATTTGAGAACGGATAGTGCTAGAGATGGTAATCAAGCCATGGAAACTAGGCCCATGATTCAAATTGATCAAAATCAAGAGCAAAACTCAAGACGAGAAAATACAAGAGATACCGGTTGCTTAATAGCAAACAGATTAAGAAGTAATAGAGATCGAGCTCATGGACACGATTTAAGAAACGATGTTAGAGAAGGCAATTACTCGATCGAAAGCAGTTCAAGAGGTCGTAGAGGAAATGGAAGAGAAGGTAGTCATGCAGTGGATGGTAGATCAAATGATCATGGAGGTGGTCGAATTAGCGGACGACGTGACATGAATTCTGTCCATGATATTCAGGACAATAGTGTTCGAGAATTGAGGTCATTCAGGAATAGTAATGATCTGGATGGTGAAGGGCGGAATGCACCTGGTAGCTCTGGAGGGAATGAGAGGCCTCGTGTTGTTGGCAGGATTGGAAGGAGATCACAACTTGAAGATCAGCAGGCTCCTACACCTCGTACAAGAGGGAGCTCTAGGGAGCGGAGAGAAACGAAAGAACAAGTTGCCCACTATGTGAAAGCAGAGCTGAAGCCACTTTATCATTTAGGACATATCGGTACGTATCTAAATCCTTTCTTGATTACCGTTGAAACTTTCAATAAGTTGTAGATCAAAATTAGTGGGTTCCGTTTGCTTGTGTAGTTTTTGCAAAACCTAATTTTGATGGAGGGTTCCAATTTGAGTGCCAGTTTTTCTAGTTTTATCGTATTTTTTGATTCCTTAATTTGGCCAAAATCATTGGAGGTGAAGATTTATCTTCTTCGTTGTCATAGATGAATGTTTTTCTTCGTAAGTTTTTTATACTATTCACATGTATTACCTATTTGATTATACTGTGTTGCAGATAAGGAAGAACATAACAGGATTGCGAGGTCGGCAACACAGGAGTTTTTATCAGCATTTGGAATAGAGTGCAGAGTTCCTGAAACACGTGCGTCTGAGAATCTCAGTACCCGTTGTACTCACTCATCTCCGCCATCAACTTTCTCAATTTTCCCTATATCTTGCTTGCAATGCGTGAAGCATAATGTAAGCAAAATTGTAGGTGTGCTGGTGAAGAAAGCTGTGGGTAAGGACATCTTGTAGTACATTATCAAGCGTTGGATGTACAATAAGTTTTGACAGAAACTAAGCGGTTTTTTAGTGGCTGATTTTGAGCGGATCGTGTTGGCTTGTACAGACTGATAGAAGCACTTCTTTGTTAAACTTCGTTATATTCGCCAATTTCGTTGTATGAATGACAAGGTTCATATACTATGCCAAAGCTCCTGTGTAATTTTCAACAAGCTGTATAATTTTGTTGCTTCCTTACTTTCGGTTTCTTATCATTGTTGATGTTTTATATATATTACTTTAAATTATTTTTAAAAAATTATTATTTGATACTTCAAAAAACTTCCGTTTCAATAAAATATACTTAATATTCGAGATTTAAATTAAGGTAATTCCTATAATAAATCTCGAATATTAAGTATATTCGAGATTTAAATTAAGGTAACATTCGAGATTTATATTCCAATAATTAAATTTATTGGAATATTTTTAGATACTATAATAACTATGTAATGCTTGAATAGTAATTTGACTATTCATCTTTCAATAACTTTAAGAAGACATATCTGTATGAGAAGTTATAACATTGAAAAAGATATTTCTTCTATTCAAGTTTTTATCTCAAATTGAACCTTGTTTTTTTCCTTTCTCATCTTACAATTTACAATCATAGGCAAACAAGCAAGCAACCATTAGAAAGACAAACCATGAGCAAAGTAAGGGCAATATTAACCTAGAGTTCCATCACAATGTATGTGACATCCATAGCTCCACAACAATTAAGCAATCTGTGAACCTTCTGAAACCCTAACTCACTTCATTTCTTTACCAAAAACTTGCACAAAAGAAGCATGAAGTTTTCTTTTAGAGATGAATCTAACTTTTCTTTGTCAATGTGTGTACATCTATTCATTTATGAGAATCTTGCAACTAGATTTGAATAAAAGGTTCAAAATCTATTCAACATTCAAATAAATTTTTTGATTAAAAAGTAAAATCTCAATGTCCAAATTTTGCATTTTGTGATGGAAATTAAAAACTAAAATGACAATTAACTTAATTTGTAAGAAATCTCCTTCATTCACAAATTGAACATACAAGTAATAGACAAAAAACTTAATGTGCACTAATTAAAATTCTTAAAAGAGTTTGTAGTGATCTATGCTTTACTATGCTTCATCAAAAACAAACTAATGGCTTGATATCATTCTCATAGCAAAATCCTAACCATGATCATGATGGTGACAATGACAACATAAATACTTCTTAAACTAAGTCAAAATTAGGTGTATCCTATACAAAAGAGAATTGTATTGCATGCAACTTTGCCTATGAACCACTCTAACTAGCGACAAAATGCGGGGGTACACAATAGATCTTGATGAGCCAAGTTAAGGCACAATACAATGGTAAAGAAACACTCAATCAAGCTTTTTTGATCGACACTTCATACACATATTTTATTCGACCAAAGCTTTGTATGCTTTCTCTCCTAGAAACATCCCAAAACAACATATTAATCTCAATTAATGTTGTAATTAATATCTTAGTTAATCTTAATTTTTCTTTACTTTTGATGGAAACTTTTGATGAAAATAATAAAGTGTGCAGCAAATTAGAGAGTTTTTTTTTTTTTTTTTTTTTTTTTTTTAATTCTTCTTCTTCTTCTTCTTCTTCTATTCCATTGATTTCTACCTCCCTCCACTAAGTTTTTTCACATAAAAGATTTCTTCATTCTCTTAATGTTATTTTGTGATTTTTATATTAAAATATTTTAAAGAATAAAATCTATATATAGTCAATGAAATCAATTAAAACTTGTAAATAAACTTCAAAATTTTAGTATTTTTTTAATTTTTTTTAATATATTATAAAAATTTGATGTTTGTTTATCATCCATAAAGTATTTAAGTTATTTAGTAATTTAATTCTAATGTTTAGGATTATTTTGATGATATCCTCAAATATGTATATAATAATATTTTTATATTTTTAAAGATAAATTTAAAATTTATAAATTTTAATAATACATATTTGTTATATTTTTAGCTTATAAGCTTATTATGCTTAATACATAGATCTTCAAATACTTGGCAAAATAAAAATAATACATATTTTGTATTATATATATATTTATATATATATATATTTATGAAAGTTTATCTCTAGTATAGTAGATAATCAATAATTAATTATTAAATATCAAAGATCTCTATAATTTAGACAATTATTTTTTACTTTTATTTTTTTTAAAATAATTTTTTTATTTCAAAACAATTTTAATTAGAATATTATGTGATAATTATATTATAAAATTTCAACTTATAGATTTTATAAAAAATCATATAAACAATAATAACAATATAATAAAATAGATTAGACTACTTTATTAAAAATCTTAGTTTATTTATCTTATATTAATCTTAAAATTATACTTATATTATAAATAACACTTTTATAGATTTTTTAAAGGAATTTATTTTATTTATTTATTTTCTACATATAATTTAATAATCATAATTCTGTTTACATGTATTATTAAATATATTTTTACAAATCTATAATTGCAATGGTTATATTTAATTTTTAAAAACCAATTTTATTTGATGACAACTCATTATTTAGTTGCAAGCACTTAAAGAAGCTTTTGGTACAATAATCCAAGAAATTTGCAAAATATGAATACAAAGTAATGTAAAAAGTAAACACTTCAAGATAAAAATAAATAGAGTATTTAGTGTAATAAAAGGATTACCACAAGCAAGTCATTCTTGGCTCACATTGGAAGCCATAGAGCATGAAAAGATGACAATCAAGAATTTTAAAGATATTTGAAATTCCAATGTAAAATAATAGAGGCATTAATGATACCATAAAACTTTATTCAGCAAAGTTTTATGTGGATATTTTTATTATAATAATTTATCTTAAGATCTAATAAAAATAAAAATATTTTTTTTGAAGTAGATAAAATTGATTATTTATTATCAATAAATGTTTAACATCAAAAAAAATATTTTTCTTTCTTGTTTTGTATGTATTTTATAAAAGAAAAAAATATGACATATTTGAAAAAATTGAATCTACGAATATTGATATCTAATAAATATTGATGAAAACAAAATTATAAGAAATTTCTACTATAAACTTGTTTAAACAAAGATGTATTAATGGACTTAATTTTCTAAATGTGGTACATGTATACTACGATGAAAATCGTGTACAAAAATGATGAATCTTAATTTCAAAAGATTAACTACATAAATTTAAATACTAATGAATAATTCAAGCTGATATTTATTTCAAACTAACAACTTTGAATATCCACTAAGAGATCTTGATAACTACAAAATTATTACCTTAATATAAAATAAAAATTAGATTATTTGTATTAATTTTATATTCTAAACCATGATATGTATTTAATAATTTTTAGAATTCATTATCTTATGCATTATCTCACTTGTCAATGCACTTGACAATATATTCTAAAAACCATTAAATACATATCATGATTTAGATTTGAAAAAGTACTTATATTCAAACTATTAAGATACTATCTAAGGTCAAAACTTTTGTAGATATATCAAATTTAATCTAACATTATATGTTTAAAAAATTGAAGATATTTGAATTTTTTTCACTTCAAAAATATTTAAATTAGAAATATTAGAGACTAATCAAAAGCCACTTAGAATATTCAACTTGTTTGATAGAAACTATCTTTCTTGAAAGAATATTTTGATTAAAAAAAGGGCCAATAATATTATAAGAAATTGTTTTTATGCCTAAATTGTTTTGTGATTATATTAAGTACATGTTAATAATAGTGCTAGTACTAATAATTATTTTATTAATTGGTTTAATAATCTTAGAATGCTAAATATTATCCCTTGTTGAGCTGTAAGCAAAAATTATAAGATTGGGCTACACAACACCAGTCACAGTGGCATTTTAAATTCATAAAAACATGGTTCAATCTACATCAAGGAGAAATGTAATGGGTTTACAAGAGGTGCACACCAAAGTCCTCTGTGAAGAATGACCACATAGGCTTTGTTCTCTGCTTTTGCAACGGAATGCTGTTCTAGATTGGTGCTAATTTGTTGAACACCGATACTGCACATAATGAAGCACCGTAATAGACTGTCACGATGTGTTCAACTCGCAAAGCTGCAGCTTGATTCTTCGAGTGTAGGACGTTGAATTCAACGGAGCTTTCCGTTTCCCAAGCATTGCAACTCACCAGACACTGCGGTCTGCTCAGTAGAATTCCAAAATGATAAACAATGTTCTTCAGTACACTACGCAAACTTGACAGTCGACTCTCAAGCGAATCTCGAAATATACCATCAACGTCAAGTTCCGGATTTGTCACGAACCTCACAATCAAGGTCCCGATAATTCGGTAGGAATCAAACACCCTCACTGGTGAACCCTGTTCACGTCTTTGCATTCTACAGGCAGCGATGACATCAAGAATTAGGCCCTGATTACCAGTACAATCTGGGCTGCCTGGGTGTTGATAGGGCCGGTACACAGCGAACTTGACGTCGTTTTGAGTGTATTCAAGTTACCTTTGAAGTGGGCTATGTCAAAGTAGAGTTCAAGCCAAGACAGAGAGAAAGTCCACTTTGAGATAACCCATCTCACAGGCTGGCTCGAAGTTAAAAAGTTCCCACCATGAAAATGGGCAATAGCTCTGGGTTCGTCTCTAAGAAGACTTGGAAATCCTCCCAGCTTATGGCCCCATCATCGTGCTGAGAAATCTTACTGAACCACGCCCTCACCTGCATTACTCAACACATGGTCAACAATATACTCGTAAAGCCTTGCTTGAATGGCTCTTTCTGAGTAGCTTTTGAGCCGGAAACAAAATCAATGCATGAAATTAACTAATGCTCTCGTCAAACAAAGAAGTTCACGAGATGAAAGATTTTGGCTTACGTATGCAGAGCTAATTGTTGGCATACTTAACTTCAGGCATTTTTCCAGCTGCAAAAGTAGATCATTGTTCAAAACATGAGGCTTAATCCAGTGACACAGAGCGCTCAAGTATGACTCCAAGGTTGTTACTAATTATCATCTACCAGTGCACAACTGAAGAACCTCATTAGACTTGGAAGTACAGGCAGGGGCAACAGCAACAGTCGACGTGATCAAAAGTCGTATTGAATGACTTGATTGTGCCAACATTGACACCCACTAGACACTTTAATGAAGATAAAACTCAAACAAAGTTGAGACAGCAATGATCAGGTGCTGTTATCCAAAGCGACTCTTAAAATTCAAATGTTGACGGAAGTGTACCTCCAGTTGTGAGATGCAGTCACTGTTTTGAAGGTTACATGCATCGTAAGCTGCTTTCATTTGACTCTTAAACTCCTTGCTTTTAGTGATTGATCCCATTACCGCCACGAACTGCACATATTGGAAAACATCAATGATCGTTAATGTTAAGCAATGCTTATTACTCAAACACGAGAAATGAACAAAAATGTGTGCAAACCATGCCAATGAAAAGAATAATGAACCCCAAACAGGCTTCAACATGAGTGCCATGTATGTTCTTGAGAGAGAGGAATCTAAGAGATGTTGAATACCTCTCTAAAAGTCGTGAAGCCCTGTCCCGATTTGTCGAAAAGATCAAATATCTGAGTAGAACATTTAGCGCGTCAGAAAGAGCATCTTGGTAATTCGATATCATAACAGTACTTTATGATATCATCACAACTGTTCCAGGATAAAAACCTTAAGACCCAAAATTCAACTGCTGCATATACTGATCCAAGACGAAGGAGTTAACGATCCAAAATTTCTGGAGCTGCAATCTTTGCTTACCTTCTTCGACATCCAGCATTTCGGCATATGATGCCATTTGACAAATTGGTTCAAGCTGACGGTACCGCTGCGTATCAAAACGAAATGTAAGATACAAGTTGCACGCAGGTTTACTTCAGATTACAAAGCCACTAACCATCGTCTGTGACAAAAACCAAACCTTAAATGTAGATGGACAAACAGATAACTCACCAAGAAGTTGGATTCATAGCGGCAAACTTCTCTAGAAAGATCTTCACGGCACCTGCCCTCAGGCCAAGTACCTGCTGACCACAAGCGATTATTTACTTTCACTCCCTCAAAAAGTAACAGTTGCAAAATGAATATTAATCGTAAACTTGCACATATCTAACCCAAAATTCCCTCTCTAAAGCAAGGTCTTGTTAGCATAGAGATACGGTAGAGCTCTACACGGCACTCACTTCACACCTTGAGAGGGTAAACCTATGACAGAATAAGATAGCCACTCACCTTCTCCACTCTCCCCAATTCAACCATGTAATTCGACGGTGAATTCTGCATATATCGCATCAAATATTGCAGAGAGTTGGTACATAAGCCCACATGACAGATTTGGTAAAGACAATTTCAAAACCATACATTCCAAGTTAATATTGCCAGTGCTATTATCCAAATATAGATCTAGACCCATCAATTTTCATTTGCTCAGAAAAGAAAGTACTATCACGCACCAAGCAAAGCCGCCGGGCATGCAAAGATAACATAAGATCACCGTGCGTATGCTCGGTCACTGGCACACCTAAGGCATGTGCCATTTCATCCCTAACCTGCAATATGGATTCATAGAATTAGGGCTATATCATCATAACCTACAAAATTGGACAATTCCACGTTGGAACTGAAACTGTCTGGATACCCTATATTTGTCCATAAACTATGCACGCTGAATTCGCTTCAATATGAAAGACTCACCCGGTCGGAAAATTCAGAGGGATTTTGCACCTCCCGCGCAGATGGGTAGATGACAGGTAAGTACTCAACCTGCTTACATGCGTAGGGAATCCAATTTCAGCGTCATCGCTTTGCACAAGGTCAATCCAGACCGGGATTTATGGGATCATATCAACCTCAAAGTAAAGAATCTCTGCCCTAAGGATTGAAGTGGATGGATCCACGATGCCATACCTCCATGAAGTTGGTGAATTGCGTAAGCATTCGAAACAGCACATCACACAGTGAAATGTCGCCCCTGCAAATCATAAAGCACTTCCTTGAGGAAATTTGATGTGCAAATAATGCAATTTGTAAGCACCACAATGGAATGCGATCCGAGTGTAATGGATGGACCCGTACCAGGAAATATCGAAGTGGGCAAAGGGGTACCGGATGACCACTGGCTGAATTGGAAAGCCAGGAGCAAATGCACCCTGCTTGAATGCAATCAGTGCCTTCCCATTAGTTGTTGTGCCCTCAGGGAACAACAGTACCGACGGAAATTCCATGCTTGCCGCTCTTCTCTGCCATAAAAAGTAAGACAGTAGCGAGACTTATTATTTCTTGAAAGCGATGCAAGATATTCTAGCACGAGAATCGCACAATTTGACTTGAAAATCCGCCGTCACCAAGGCAGTTTCTTCTTGAACATATTAATACAAGTTTCAACTTCATTCAAGAAATATGTCCTAAACGTGCACAAGCAATGAAGAGACTGGGATGATGATAGTACTTTGATTTCGAGAGTCGCATTCTTTCTCGACTCTGCTGATAATTTGTCGACAGGGATGACCTACAACGCGACCACAGTCACACCAATACAATTAGAGAGCCGTAGATGAGAACTCCTGTCTTCCCGAGACAATGAAGAACGGCACTAAAAGAACAGAGCACGCATGAGCACAAGGAGTGTGAAGATTCTATTACCTGCATTGAACGGATTATGGTCCCCACCAAATAGAAACGGTCATGGGCCTTGGAGCTCACGATGCTCGGAAATAGTTCATAAAAGTAGAACAGGGGATCAATGAATGAAACATGATTCGACACAACGATGGGAGCGACGTCTTTACATGCAGGCTTCCCAACGCGCCGAATCCAGTAAAACCTGACGCATCCGAGAATCTCAGTCGAGAGAGCGATGTAAAAGAAATTGGCTCTTGCAGATAATGCACACAACCATGCACCAAGGAGATTGACAGAACATGGAACTGTTAATTCGATTCTCCATCTACTCACTTTCAGGATCGCTTCTACACTCAATGAAATGTAAACGCCCCCAGTGACGTAGCGAATTTTCTTCACACGCAGACAAACACGAAATTCTGACGAACTCCTAGACCTGTTACAAGTCCCCGGAGGCACACTCTACTTGAATTGTCACTCACAGAGTAGATTTGCCGCCACTTTTCTCAATGTGTTAGCATCACACACCTAATCAAAAAACAGATGGAAAATCGAAGATGAAGACCCACCCAAAGCAGTACAGAATGCCGCGGGCGCAGAGTCGTGTGAACCCCATCAGCTTGCGGCGCCATGGTTGCAAAACTCCTCCCTTCTCCCACCCTATCAGCGCCACTTTCGTGTTTAAAAATCCCACCAAGAGAAGCAACCCAATCAGCAGCATCCGAACCACCGCCACTGGCGCTAGAAGGACCGTCTTCACTGTCTCGTATACTCCAGTTATGTTCGGCGTTGTGTTGACGAACGGGTCCATGGAAGGTTGTTTCCCGAGTGTGGGCACATTTGGGAGAAGGTCCAAAGCCTTCTGCATCCGCATAAAGTCTCCGTCCTCGTCCAACTCGTTTTTCAGCACCGAATCAGGAGACTCATTGTGAAAACGGCTAAAATTTTTCGCTAATTGCGTAGAAATGGGAATCTTCACAAAGACCTCTTTGTGGAGTTCTTTGATAGAACCCATTGGATTACCGACAAGGATACTAATTCCTGAAAACCTGGGACTGGAAACTCCTCGTTCTTCAGGTTTCAAATGCTGTGAGAGCAAAGGAAATTGATCTTCGTCCATTGTTCCGTCAGAATGCTTCACCGAAATAAATACAAAATTGAGCCCAAATTGGAATCAAGCTGGAACCGGCAACAGGCTCAAACCTCGTCAAGATGCTCCCAGATCCATCCTGCCACAGGATTCTGGCTACGAATTTTCTTCACGGAAGCGCTTCCCAGACAGCAAACATTCCCCAGTAATCCACCCTCACCAATGCAAGCATACAACGCATCATCCTACAATCTCATCGCGTGAAGTTGCAACAACTGCATCCCAAGCCGCAAATTCTAAATTCCGTCATATAGTAAGACCCTCTCATTCCAACCACTTCACAAAACCTCCCAAAACGTGCTTGAGGAAAAGTATTCTAGATCTAGTCGCCATTAGTGACCTCCTCACCCCAACCATTCAATCTAAACTCACTGCTAATCACGAATCTTCTAGGTGATTGACACAAGGTGTAACCATTCACGAGTCTCAAGCGTCAAAAGGGACGCGGATTATTGCTCTTCTTCCGAGCGGAGACGGGTGGTTCCGAGTTAGCGAGTTTCTCAGCAACGAACACGAAACAACACAACGCCACGAGCATTGGTCGCGCGTGAAGGTTCCCAGTTTCACGAGGTTCCGATACGTCGAGTCAAGTCAGGCACCTCGAAGCAGCAACATCAGCCTTCCAGAAGCACCTTTGCGTCCCCAATCCTACGATGGGTATTCCGCAATGATGGGTCTAGTCTAGCGCAGTCGGCGGCAGTCGGCTGCAACTCCACTTTCATCAGCATTCACGCTGCTTTTGCGTCCGAGTCCTGCGATCACGAGATTATGGCCCCCGGTTTGGCGAATAATATTTTTAGCCTCTCGCAATTTGCCCAAATTGCACCATGGCTATTTCAGAATCAGCAATCCATTTTTTTCCCATGGAGCTTGCATCCTCCAGGACGGATGACAGGAAGATTGGACCCCCACTTCAACTGGTCGCACCCAAAACCCAGAAGAACATCAGCCGTCGGAGCCGACCGAATCCTCAGCTCCACGATCACCAGCACGGCGAAGGAAGACCAACAACCCCCACACCGCGTCAATCGACCCCCTCACTTTCGCCAAACGCGTCAGGAGTTACTGCAGTAAATTGAGCGCCGCATCGATCCTGCGCTGGGTGTCGCGGCGACTATTCTGACTCGAAGTGTCCTCCAAGATTCCAGGGTCGTCGGGGCTCGCGTTCCAGATTGCCGTGACTCATCGATCGACCCATCATCGATCCACCAATCTATCGATGTATCCATCGAGAAATCCAGACCTTGGGATGATGATGATGATGACGATGAGCAGTTGGGGGGCTGGCTGTGTGGCGTGGCGTGAGGGAATCGGAGCCTATACAAGTCCACTCTCACAACTGGCCACTGAACCTAGAAATTACAAAAAAGGATAGGTTGCGTTGACGTGACGTGCCGTTGCGTGTTTAGATTTGCAGTTCAGTGCTGCTGCTGCGTTGCATTGCGTTTCGTTGCATTGTTGCAGTGTTGTGTTGTGTTGCGTTGTGTGAAGTGGGAGGGCGCTGTGGAATTCACAACTCCACCTTGATTTCGTCCCATTCCTCCTCCGCCTCCTCCTCCTCCTCACTTTTGCCTGCCCTGCCTGCCTTCCTGCACTCCCTGCTGTTGCTGTTGCTTATTCTTCTCCCTACTTCTCTGTGTTTTTTCTCCTTCTGTGATGGTTGTTTCTCGTTGTTTCTAATTGTTTCATGCATCGTGTGTGAGTTTTCTCCATAAAGTGCCTCTTTACCTCACTCCCTACGTTGTTTATCATATATCCTGTCTGTATATACATAAATAAATATAAATATATATATATATGTGGGAATGTGTGTGTGGTTATTTGTTTCTGGAGTATTGTGGGTAGGGAAGCTTCGGTGTGTTTGGTTGGAGTTTGTTTACTGTGTTCGATTCTTCGGAAATGGAGTGAAAAAGTGAAATATTGAATAGTAGTTGTTGGATTTGTGAGGGTTGGTTTAGAGTTGGATGAATGCTTCATTGCTTTGCATCAAATGCTTTTTGATAACTGGAGGTATGGAATGTGATACATTTGGTTGTTGTTTTGGACAACGTAACTTGGATTTTGTGGATGAAGTTAAAATAATCACCGCATTGTGACAAGGCAAGAATGTCTGTGTTTTCTTTTGTTATATATATATATATATATATATATATTTAATATGATTTTTGTACTAGGTTTGTTATTATTTTGGTTTTTAAGTGCAATAATGTATTTAAAGTGCGTAGTAATATTATAAAACTATTTCATATCATGATACATCAGTTTATAATTTTTGCCCATATCTTTGTGGAATTTTTATATCTAATCCTTTGGGTTTGTAACTACTTATGTTTGTACACTCTATTAATAAAATGTGAATGTTGTTTTTATTTACTTGCACCTTTGATAGTAGACATGATAATTAATTTAGTTAGATCTCTAACAAATTCTTCTACTTGTAGTTTAAGTTTGTGTAGCTTCATATATATATATATATATATATTCACACACACATTTTATACACTAGCAAGCTTATGCTATTAAGCACATAAATAGGTTATGTGGATCCCATGCTATTTCTCTGTGTGAACACATCTTCTATCTTAGAGTTTGAAGTCATTTCTTGTATATCACATGTAAATTTTAATTTTTAGTTATCTTGCTTTGGAAACATCTCTTGCAAATCAAAATTAATGTTTATATTTGTATGAAAATATACACTATTTCGAAAAATGAGAGTGCTTAATCATGCCCTTTGTTATGTCTTTGCAATTTATTTTTTAAAGTAAAATGCATCCCTTCCTTTTATGTGAATATGACTCCATGAATTTGGGTGCAATATTTTAAGGTTATTTTATTTTATTTTATTTTTGTATGTTTAAATTTCCATGAGAAGAAATGCTGCACGTTGGTTATAAATCAGTACTAAAAATTGATATTCCAAAACTTAAGAAATTTAATGTATAAATTCAGGAGAATATTTTGAAGCTTTAACCTATGTGATATTAATTTGTCTTGTCAAATTATATATCTCATAGTATAATGATTTGTTCCTCTTGTTGTAGAAAGGCTATTGGAAAAGCATTTACAAGGTGTTCAATTTATTTTTTCACAATATGTAAAAACCTACAATTTGTTAATTCTAAAAATTTAATCAGAAAATCGAACAACATTTTAATATCGGACTACATCATAATGATTATTTAAAATCAACACAGTAATTTTCAACATTTTCAATAGGTATACTGTTGATAAAAATTTCATTATCAGTTTTTAAGTTTAATTTATTTTGCAATAAAGTTTATAGTCATATTTTACTTAAAAATGAAACACCTTTCTTGAATATTAATTTCAGATGCACAGCATATGGATGTTTGTATGTGATTGTGGCCACACAAGTAACACATGTGAGATCCATGAAGTGGAATATTTTGTTCAAGTAGGTGAAACAATTCAAAATGTATATTTGAATGGTTGATATGTATTGAATGTATTGGTCATAAAATAACAATGTAAAGTAACAAGAGATGACTAATCAACAAGATGCAAAGACCCACAATAGACATATTTAAATTGTAGAAATGTTGTGTGTAAGTATAGGTTTAAGATAAATCTAAACAATTGGTGGGAAACTACAAGTGAAGCTTCTTAAAACTTAGTTTAAAAGAGATAAGGAGTGAGTTTGTTGCCATTAATACTTTGCCTTTGTTCAAGGGTGTTTTTTTGTGTGAATATTTTTAATACAAGTAGATGAGAGCCATATTGATATAATATAATATATCACAACATTATCAGCATTATAATTATATATATATATATATATATATATATAGATGTATATTTCTTCACTGGAATATTGTGTCCCAAAAGCTTGAACACAACTGACAATTGCTTTCAATAGAACATGACTTTGATAAAAAAAAATAAAAAAATAAAAAAGTAAAATAAAAACTTTGAAATCGATATTTCACACACATTTTTGAAAAGAAAACTTTGTAATTGTTCTGTGGTACCTTCTGGTACGAATTTTAAGTTACTCCCTTTTTTTTTTATTTCATAAACTAAAAATAATATTATGACAATTATATATATATATATATATATATATATATAATATATATATATATATATGTATATATGTAAATAATATATATATATATATATATATACTAAAGATCAAAATTCCTTTTTTCTTCTAAATCTTTCATGCACATTATTTTCTGGTTGCTTCCATGAGCTAATGTTTTCTTCACATGTTGGTTAAAACATCTAAGTTATGTTTAATATATGATATTTCATTTTCATACTTTCTTTTGGAATACATTTTTATAATTATGAGTTCTAGATTGTCATCTCACCTCTACATTTTCATTCATTTTTCTATTTTTTTTTGGTATAAACCTTAGTCTAGTGTGTATCCATATCATGTTGCTTTGGCTTTAAGCTATACACCTCAATACATAACTATTGCTCCTAAACAAATCAATTCAGTAGCCATTGGCTTCATCTCTTGCATTAGTATTCCTTGAAAAATTTGTTGACATTTACATGCACTTCAAAAACAATTGATTAAATCAAAGATATTCAACACAATGAATGATATAATATATTTTTAATCATTTTAGAATAATTAGCGCAATCTAATATATCATGGATTCCATTTGTATATATATATATATATATATATATGGTTACTCACTCGTATATATAGTTAACCATATATATATATATATATATATATATATATATTTATTTATTATTGGTTAACCATAGGCTTTGCTAATGTTAAGTACATTTTTGACAACCAATTATTAAAAAAAAAAAAAAAAAACACAAACACAAACACAAACACAATACACCTTAGTAGTTAATCAATGCCCATTACTGCAATAAAAAAAAAAATAAAAAATAAAAAATAAACACACACACAAAATACACATAAAATGGTGCTACATTAGTCACTTTAGTGAAGTGCAAGTCGGGTTCATTTGCACTGCTATTGCCATTGCCAACCCACCATTGCCAACCCACCATTGCCAACCTGGCTTGTCCCATCCTCTTATTCGAGTAACTGGGTTAAACCCGTAATTAGGTTTTATCATCTTACTACTCTAGCCAATGGAATTTTTTGACATTCTAGCCTAATATATATATATATATAATTTAAGGTCTAATAAATATAATAAGAAAGCTTAGTTATAAGAAAAATAAATAAAATAGCATTGTCATTGACTAATTGGTTGAAACAAAGAGGTCTTCTTATTGGCCAAAAACATATGTTGTCTTTTGGTAATGTAAAAACATAAGTTATTCTATCATAATGTAAAAGTTTGTGTTACCTTTTTTCAATGCTTTTCTCCAAATACAATCAAGATTTTTTATCTGCAAAATAGTAAAGCCAAAAGCACCACAACAAACATAGTTTATTTTATATTTTTATTAATTAGCTATTTTAGTTATTGAAATAAATAAGAATTGTATTTGCTTGTAACATTAAAGAAACATAAATATTTTATGCTTATTTGATTTGATTTTTTGACATTTCTCTAGAATTTGTTGATTTTTGGCTTGGAAAATTAACATGCCACATCTTTTTTTGTGCCCAATCGCACAAGTTTCTGCTAATAATCAATAAACATGCTGAAATGCAATCTCATCAATGCATAAATAGCTCCAAATTTACAAATGACAATTTATTTGGTCCCTTAATTATAAGTAAATAAATAAATAAACATACAACTGTATTTTTTCCTATTAAATTATCTAATTGACACTTAACATCTAGTTAACATTTCTGGATGAAAAGGAAAACCCTTATCCAGTGTTTCTGATGCCCGATGGAAACCCTAATTCTGCATCCCCGCGTCGTTACAGACGCGCATTCCTCGTTCGCCATCGCAACCAACCCATTTTCTGAATTAGGTATGTCGAAAAGATTGATGCATTGCTGCCCACGAGGGCCAGTTTTCTTTGCACTCACTTTTTGGTTTTGTTTTTTTAGCTGCTGAGTTTTTTTGAGTGCTTTTTGAGTTGTTTTGTGTTGTGTTGTGTGCTTTTTTTTTTTGACAGTAGTGAAACTTTTGTGTTGTTGTGTAGTTTTTTCGACACTATTGCAGCCCTTTCCACATGGTTAGCGTTATCCTGAAAATAGGACGACCCACACTCCAGGACGCATCTCGTCTATCTTCGGTATATTGACTCTTCCGCATCAGTTATTTTAGCTCTCCACCATTGCGTGCACAGCGTGTCAGATTCCACTGGAGCTACTCCGTCGTGGAAGCCAACGCCAGGGCGAAGCTTGTCCACGGACATGAACAGGACGATAGGAAATCAAAGCGATGCACTGGAAAGCCTCGGAGTGACGCAGACACCTTCAAACAGAGCCTTCTTCCATTGGGGGTGAAAGAGAGCATCACGTCAAGCCTTACGATTACTGCATGTTTGCACATCGTGGATTGGAGTTTCGAGTGCACGCCACCGGACCCTGCCTCTCAGTAGTGAAGTGAAAAAAGGGCCGCAATGGTCATAGCTACTCGTGGACTACACCTTTTGAAGCATTTAGATGGCCTCTAGTTTAGTAGCTATCCCAATCGATGCTTTTGGCGTGGTTTCATGTGTGGTCCTGGTGGAACATCTCTCAGACCTTGATTTTGTATTTGTTTATTTTGGTATGTCTCACGATAACTAAGAAGTTTCAGTGCAAGGAGATGAGAATCTGCAGCATGGTGTCATGGATTGACTACTGGTTACCGTGGTAATCAAGCGGTAATGTCTATCCTGGTGCTAATCACAGACCTCTCTGGTCATTTGTGATAATACACATTTACGAACCGAATGGCTGAGGCCTCTTCGAACAAATGACAAGCCATGAGAAACTTACTTCTTAGGCGGACAAGAGTTTCATGGGAGATGAAGGAGAGCTTCATACTGTTGCTTTGCCAAGGTTCACTCCGTGTTCGCTTGCCTGGGGTTGCCCTTTCAAGGAAGAGCTGATTCGTGCGAACGCAACATCTCGAAATTCTCACATGGGTGTGTTCGGTAGTTTTCATGTGGAAAATTGTTTCAACAATCAATTTTCACGTTGTTTCGAATCTTGGCGCAGGTGAGGTCTTTTTTTGGGTTGAATAAAAAATATTTAATTATCTAGAAAGATTTTTTTTACATTCGCTTTGTGAATTCATTCTTTTTATTTAAAGACATATGCCATTGCATCAATAAAAACTACCATGTTCCCTACTCACCACATGTAACCTTAATTACATACACAACGTGTCAACAACACGCAAATCTGCGCATTACTAACCTGAAAGATACGCCATGTTTTCATTCGATGTTTATGAACATGATGATGAAAAACCATGCCATTTTCGCGTGTCAAGAAGTACTTTGGAAACAAATCACTCTGGATTCGAACGCTTACTCAAAGAATGAAACAGTTTCTCCGAAACCATACTGATTTCTACCACATGGATTTTTGGCTATGTCTGCTTACCAAGTCTACGCGTAGTTTTTGTATGGGTCGATGGAATCTGAATCTGTTGTTGTTTAACATTGCTCGTGGCACCGCAGTCACTCAATTCTGACATCGTGGAATCTGGCCTTGGGACTCAATCAGTGTTCTGTGTATCCTTTTTTTTTTTTTTTTTTTTTTTTTTTTGTTTTTCTCTTTTTGTCGTTTCGAGTCTTTTGATACTAACTGTAATTTTATCTTGAAATTCTTTAGTTCTACGGTGCTTGTTCAAGATACCTCGATTGTGTCATCAGCACGGAACCTCAACCTGCAAAATATCTCTCCATATTATAGGCTTACGGAGGCAAGGCTGACAAGGAAACACCCGTGGGATTATCCGTTATAAAACCGTAGAACTTTATAGCCACTCACTGGTGACATCAACCTTCATCATTTCACAAGCTCTCACTGTGCAAGTTTCACTGAATGTGGACCAAAGCAGAATGTATCTGAGATCTCAAAGCAGTATTTGACGTATTGAATTGTTACTTTTCAGCCATTTTAGGTTGACGAAGTTAGTTGCCTCATGTGCCTAACTGTACCAGTGAAGGAGCCTCTTCGGCTGAGATTTCAAAACAGTATTCGACGTATTGAATTGTTACTTTTCAGCAATTTTAGTTTGACGAAGTTAGTGCCTCATGTGCCCAACTGCAGCAGTGAAGGAGCCTCTTCGGCTGGACACTCCGACTTCACAATTTGGAGAAAAAGAATGAGAAAGAGAGTCTATCACCAAGTCTTTTTGCGTGTGCTTGTTCTAAGCATTAACATATCGTCCAGGAAACTAGTTACAGGATCAGGCTTTGCAGAATAATAGAACCACACGCAATTATTTGTAATAGACAGCAATGTACCATGAGAACTACAGTTGCTGAAGATAACGAATACTACAACAATTTCACCTCACTCTCTTTTCACTGCATTCCCTACACGTTTCACAATAGCTTTCCCTCTACCTTGAAAATTGATTCAAGCGAACGACGGTTAAAACCGAGGAGGATGAGTTTGTTTCAAGATTTTGCTGGTGGATAAGTTGCACAGGCTCATTTGTGCAATGCTTCACTTGTTTAGAAATTTAACCAGTATGCACTGGTTAAATTTCTAAACAAGCGACTTTAACGGGTCCAGCGGCACAAACATGGCCTTCAAGAGATTCATGCACAAGTGGTCTTAATGTAAAAAGCACATATCTGACATGGGGATTCACTTAATCACAAGCCCAGGTTTTTATATATTTTTTTCCTCTCACCTTTTCTCAAGATTTCATTACGTATTTGTACTTCTCGTATTCGACTGATGCCTTCAATAATTATAGCAGACAGAAACAATTCTCAGGTGCTGCCGAATGCAGTCCCCCAAATGTAATCAACTACAAACAATTTTCTTCATTCCCAGTTCTCACTACCAGCCACTTGGTATTATGCTCCAATCGTTTCCTTCTATCGATAATGCAAGATGGTAGATTTCTCCATTCCAATTGGGAATGATCCATGCTGGTGTGTGAGCTTGAGTAGGTTAAGGTCATGGTCACGAGCATTGCTGTGAACTGCAAGTAGCGCCGTGAAGACGTCCAACCGTTGTGATATCTTTGGTTGCAGCCATGGCGATCTTGAGAGGCAGCTTGTGTGAGATTCTGTAGTGACCACATTGAAAATAGCTTTTGTAAGTTGAGTTGGTTCTGTGTCTTTTTTTTTGAATAAAAAACTTCAGAAAATAATATACAAAGCTCAATCGCTATTAAAGTGGTTTGAATGAAATCCCTCGTTACAGATTTCGCAGCTTGCTTTCTGAACGTCGTCACGGTTGCTAAGCATGGATCCCGCTGGGAGTCTTGGAGTGAATCAAACCTTCGTCATTCGACGGCATACCTGGTGGCGATCTTCTAGTGCGTGCTAAAATCTTACCCATGTGTCCAACATGTGTATAGTGTCCCCTCTTTCCTCCATAGAACTTTTCCTTCAATGTGTCTTTGTGATTCACGTGGTCGTGGTCTACAGCCGTGGCCTGATATGTTTAATAGTACCGCCTGAATGTGAAGATGGCAGAAAAGATGACGCTCGCACCTGATCAATTGAGCCAGACCGTCATTCTCATAACTAGTTCGAAACAACGTAGCAGAAGGCATTTCAAAGTGAATGACAAAGTTATGACCTCTAGCCTGGAGAATATTTAGATGAGAAGCTAAGTTAACATCACCCAATAAGTATCTAGACGCCCAGGCGCACGTCATCTGGCAGGAAATAATTCGCCTGTCAGGTATCCTGATGCAAATTGCAAATCTAATGATGAGATCAGGGTGGAACGCCAATCAGTTCACGGTCAATTTCCAAACTGACCTTTGTGTCTGCATGGGGGAGTGGAGGCGAGTAAATGGTTAACAGAGCAGTTATTTCCAAATAGAAAAAATTAAACGCGTTAGAAACTATTCTTTGTCTCCAGAGGTTCAACCAATCTTTGCTGAACTTTACATGCGTTCGTAGTTCTGAATGATGCCTCTTTTGTAGTCTTGGGTGGGAAAAAACTACAGTGAAGTAAACCCTAATTTCATCTCGCAGCCTCTTTTCTGAGATGCACGAATTCAACCTATACGGTTGGCCTTCTTGCTGAGCAGGTATGGCGAATTTCTGCAGCAGTATAACAGTTGCGAGACTTCAACGAAATGTTTGTGTCACCAATGAATGGAGGTGGGGGACGCGTGGAATCTAATGTCCTAAGTTCAGCTCTCTTGGAGAAATTTAACATCAACCCAACTTAGTATACCTATCAGTATTCAAGCGAACAATTGCATGTTTCTGCAATTATACGTGAGATTTCCTTTGGGAGGCGACTATCGGCTTGCTAAAGACTGGGATCCGGATGCTGTCCCTGATGTTTGCAAAGTAGGCTGTAGATATTCTCTTCTCACTGACATTGGAGCTATATTAGTGAGAGTATTTTCGAAATGTTTAGAGCAGCTGGACTCGTTTCCCAGTCTTGAAGAGCAGGGTAGAACTTCCAAACATTCCAGACAAATAATCACTGCAACCAGCGACATCTCGCAAAGTGTGACTGACAAACATGGACGTCTGTTGCAGATACGCAGATGCAGAGGTTTTTATCGATGAAGAGCAGAAGTGAAATATTGATTTCGTGTCTCAACAAAGCCGGGAGTGCTCTAATTTTTGCGAGTGATACACTTACTTTGCGCCTGACCTTCAATAAGAACTTTTGAATCGTCCATCTGAGCTACACTTTGCATTTATGAGGTGGTGTGTAACAATTAAACTGAAAAATTTGAAGAATGAACGCATTAGGATCTTAAACTACACAACATGAACGGCTTTCCGAGTGATGAAGATCATCTCGTCATATGAGTTCGGCAATTGAACTGTGCAAGTCGGTTGTCAAATACCTTAGTGCTGTGAGTGTTGCAACCCAATCGCCATGAAGGTTTACCTGAATCAATTCTCATTACTGGTTAGTATGAATGTGTGTAATTCCCATCCTGTTATTTTCCAACCGAAGACTTTTAACAGGCCACTCAAGGAAGTATAAATGTTGTTTACATTAAAAAATTGATAAAAAATCAGCAATGAATAACTACGACCCGCTTTGAAATCTAAGCGTGTATTGTCGTCCACCATGTACTCGTGTCGGAAATATGTTCACTGTAGGGGGGGAGCTACTGCACCTAGTGACTCAGTACTTTCAGTGAAAGAATTAACTGAGTCTGCATCAATTTGATTGAAACATAAATTCCTCATTTATGGTCTGTAACTGCATCCTTCGGTGAATCACGCTGCAGCACTCTACTGGTCTATTCAAAGTAGATGGTGGCAAATGGACGGGAGATTTCTTACAGCGACAGCTGATGGCAGCTGTAGGACAGAAGATGGATCAGTTTCCATTGAAGCGGCTGTAAATTCCCAAGGCGCTCAACCAGGGGCGCACACGGTGATACAAGACTGGTAGAAGATTTCGTGCTCCTTTGTTGTTCACCTTTTGGGAAACTCGGTTCATCTCCGAAGACTGTGTAGAACGGTTTAGAGACTGGGTTTGAATGAAGGTTTTACGAAGCAACCGTAGTGGAATGGTGGAAGCAGAAGGTTCTGAAAACTCATCAGTTGAAGGATAATGTAGCCATGGCCGATGCAATGTAGAGAGAAATTTTTAGCACAACGAGCCATGGAGCTCAAGATTGAGTCCACAGCTTGCCAAGATCTCAATGTTTGGAAGTTGGTTGCGACGGAAGGGAAGGAAGTGGACTCCCTGAACAACCTAAAACTTGTTCTGGTTTAGATTGAAATCTGCACCAAAGCACTCGCAGTCCTACAGCGACCATGGCCTTACGTCGACAAACTTCGAGACTGTTTTTTGTAACTCTGCTCCTGATTGTGCTAATTGCAGTTGTAGGCGTGCGAGCCCAAACTCTTCTGAAGGATTCCGCCTCTGCAAGCAACTGCTTGTTTCCAAATACCTCCAGGATCTCCACCACAGCTTGTTCCCCTAACGACTCCACATCAATGCTGTCCACAATGCTGCCGTGCCAGCCATACTTGGATGAAGACGAGGAAGCTCCCAGCACCATATGCTGTGGAGCAGTGCGCAACGTCTCAACTTTTAGTATACCGTGTCTGTGCAAGTATGTGTTTTACCCCGCACCCATCGTCAACCACACACGGGGGAGGCTCACGCCTGCCCTTTGCAATATGACCGCTGACTTGTGCCATGACTGCGCTGCCTTTCTCGTCCCCAAAGACCCGGATCATCACTGGAACTCTTCCCAAGATCATTCAGGCAAGTACACAATTCCTTCTTTCCTTAACTAGCTACGGAAGCTTTAGCTCGGTTACATACAGATCTTGCGTACAAAGCTGTGAGTAAACTAGCATGGCCTAGACCAGCTTCAACGGATAGAACGGCATTCCAGACTGTTACGTTCTTGAATTAATTTCTGTGTTTATGTTCTACGCTGCAACGCTGAACTACATGTGGAATGAGTGCAGAAGAGAAGATTATATCATACAGGAGGAAAGTGATAGGACTTGCAGTTGTGCTGGGTTTTTCCATGGCTTGCATCATTGTCGGCATGGCGTTGTTGGTCCGGAAGAAACTCAAGCAACGAAAAGCTCTGACCCCAGTTCTGAAGACGGAGTTTCAGGCCAAGCAACCTGGCAGCGATTACTGAGACGACCTATCCTTGGACCCACTCTCAGCTCCCACACAGCAAGCTCAGAATCTATCTCTTGGACGCAACTCAATCAACCATCTGATTCTCGTAACCAAGAGTCTCTCGCTCCAGGACCACCGAAGTGTGGGTTTTAGCTCTGCGTTCTGCAAGCTCAGATGTTCACCATGCGGCTCACGTGGAGCAGACCCTGTTGCAGGCATCAGTCATTGCCTGGATTAGTTAACAGCAGTTGACAAGTAGTTAAGAAGCGCAGTCAACTACACAAACATCAGAAGTCTTTGCAAGATGCTGTAATTTAGGTTCTGGAACACAGTTCTGCTCAAAAATTTAATTTAATTTATTTTAATTTATTTATTTTTAACAGCTTGCTCTCTGGTCGTTGATGCATTAGATTTCCCTAATTTTATTTTTATTTCAGTATGCTGTTTGAGTCTTGCACTGTCTGCTTGTGGATTGTACATGTATAAGGAGAGGTGTTTTCTTCCAATGAGCTTGTGGGTTCATGGTCGGAAGTAAAGGGTGTGGAATTGTTCACTTGTCAAGTGTCGGTGTTCGCAGATCGTTGCAAATGGATATGAAAGCTTCTGCTTCAAGGCTCTTTTGCATTCATTTTAAGAAATTCGTTGTAGAATATTGTTAGAGTGGCCACTGAGGAAAAAAGAACAGTCATGAGTGAGATGTCAACAGTGTGGTTGTGGAGAAATATTTTGGGTTGATCATCTATTTTGAAAAAAATAAAATTTTACAGTGCAAAGTAAAATTTTATGTTCTGTTTGTTGTAAGGAGTGAAGAAGTGTTGGTGTGTACTCCTAATTTTACGATTGATTTTTAAAATATTTGAATAATGTAAATAGTTTTTTTCTCATATAAATATCTGTTCAGGTTGAATAGCCAAGTTTTAAAATGCATATTTAAACATGTAGAATTTTTGAAAATATAGATTGCATCGAATCCATTATAGCTGGTGGAACTTGTGCTACGAAATCAACCAGCAAATGATAACAAATGTGTTAATGCATTGCATGTTCTGTGTACATATATTACATTTACACACTATAAAACAAAGCAAAATATTACTTTTAATATATAATTATATATATAAATATATATATACACATACACATACACAAAATAGTTTCTAAACATTTGTATACATGATTTCTCTAAAAAACAGCATAATATTATGACAAAAAAAGAAAAAAGAAAAAAGAAAAAAGAAAAATTAATGTTTTTATTAACAAAATTTGAAATATCTTGACACAATTTGATATTATTAGTATGTAATATTTCAAATAAATTTGGTGCAAGTTTATTTATTTATTTATTTATTTATTTTTTTTTTTGTAAAATTACATGTTAATGGTAGTTATATTTTGAAAATATTATCACATCTAATTTTACAAAAATATGTTATTTTAAGTAATTATTATGATAATAGTTTTAAATTAAATTTAAATCTATTTTTTTTCAAATCCTATTGTAAAGTTCTATTAAATTATAGTTCTATTATAAACACATTACAGTTTTAATAAAACAAAAGCAATTTATTTTATTTAAATTAAATAGATTTAATATTTTGATATCAAACTTAAAACAAAACTTTATAATTGATTATAGAATTGCTATCTTACATTAATTTGAGCTTTATGGAATTAATTCTAAGAATACAAATATGCAATTTTATGCTTCTTAAAGCCTTATAGATGTTTAATTGACTTTTTAAGTATTTGTAGTTGATTGGTACATTAGAAACTTGGCCAAGAAGTTAGCCATGTGTTGCAAATATTAGCCACTTGTGATAGAAGTTTGTTATGTAGTGCACATGTAAAACTTGTTTTACAAATTAGACATTTGTCTTTCAAATTGAATACTTCTTGGAGATCATATAGAATTTTGCCACATAGCTTTTAGTTAGATAGTACATATAGAAGCAAGAGTGATGCCTTCTTTATTCTTATCAATGCCTTTTTTGTTCTTATTCTTGTTTCAAGAGTCTTTAGTCTTTTTGTCTTTTATAATAGCCATTTTAGTTTTAATATGATGCTATATTTGAGTAATTAAATACTTTCTTTGAGTGATATAAGAGAATATTGATTTTTGTATTATTTATGATTTTTTTCCTTAACAATTTGATAAGAGTGTTAATTCTTATTTTGTTTTAGAAGTGTGTAAATTATTCCACTTCTCTTATTATGCTTTAAAAGTTATAAAATATCCACTTTTAAACTAATAATTTTTATTAGTTTAACATCAATTTTTTTTTAAAGAAAGTAGATTATCTCTCTTTGTCAAATTCTTCATTAGATACTAGGGGTTGTAGATTATTATTTTTAATTTAAATTATAAATTTATTAAAGTTTTTTATCATAGAAATGGTATAAAAAATTATTGATGCTACTCTTTGCAAAAATAAGTATAGATTTGCTATAATTATAAATTTTTATAAGTTTATTAAGAGTCTTAAGATAGAAATTTTATATATTATTATTAGCAACAATAAAAGTACTATTTCCATACCTATAAAAGAAACTAATAATAAAATCCAATATCTATGCAAAAAAGTTATGGAATTAAAAAAAAACAAATAGATTAATCTCTTTGATGGATATACATATTTGTGCCTATACTTACCTAGATAATATGAATAGGTAGAAGAAGATAAAAGTAGATAATTTTGATAATGTCTTATAGTGAATCTTCTTACAAGCTTTTTAAAAACTTTATAGATGTAGTTTCACATTTATATGTGTTTAAAGGTGATTAGTAGGTTGAATACTTGGCCAACAAATTAGCCATGTATTGTACATGTTAGTAGCTTATGATTCAAGCTAATCATATATTACACATATAACAAACTTGTCTTATAAGTTAAGCGATATGTCTCATAAATTAGACACATGTTACAGGTCCTATAGAATATCACCATGTAATTCTTAGTTATATATATATATATATATATATATATATATATAAGAGTGAAGTTTTTTTTAGAAATAGCATTTTAGTTTTTTTTTATAGTTTTTTTATAGTTTTTATTTTATTTTATTATTATTATTTTTTATGTATATACTTTCTTACTTCAATCTTATCAACTTTTGTTTAAAAAGACTCTCTTATTTATTTGCCTTCACTAAGTTTTTTTCTTTGATTGATTAAAAAGAGTATACTTATAATATCAAAGTATTTTTTTTTTTTTTTTTGATCAAGAGTGGATTATCCCTTTTTTTTTTTGTTGATAAGACATAAGCATATTAAAAATTAGAGATTAACTTTTTTTAAATTAATATTATTTTTACCATATTTTTTTATTCTCAAAACTTCTCTTTTACTAGTCTTAAGTAATATTTAAACATCTTCTATTATTTAATATTACTATGATAAGGCTTATTTAAATAAAGAATGTAATAGTACAAATACAAGAGCAATTGAAGGAATTATTGCTTGCAATGCATCAATTCAATTTATTACTATAAAAAGTAATAAAATCAACAAGAAGTGAAGATATAGAAATGATTGGAGCTGCTTCAATATCTACATCAAATCATGTTACTTCTCATATGATAGAATATATTCAAGTATTAAAAAACCAAAAATTATGTTGTATAAGAATTTTGATGGTACAAGATTAAAATTTTGAGGATTCATTAATCAAGTATAATTAGTGATTGAACTTCAACCTCAAAGCTATCGAATTCTAAGATCACAAGTAAAGTTTATTGAAATACTACTTTCAAGTTCTATATTATTATGATTTTTATCTTTTTTTGAATAATATGATCTAATATTAGATACTTTTGATACTTTTTTGATAGAATTTTGATCCATGTATAAAAAACATAATAGAATTTGTATTACAACTAATAAAATCTATATTTTGTGTCAAAAAAATTAATCTATAATATTATTTGGTTTATAATTTTGACAACTTGAGACTAATATCAAGTATCAAGGACATGAATTTCAAAGGAAAAAATATTCAATATACTCTTGTGTCACTTAAAAGAACTAGAAAGTTAAAGATGATATAATATTAAACTAAAATGGTGGTTGCCAAAAACAAGAAGACTAAAAACTCTTGAAATAAGACTAAGGACTAAAAAGGCCATGACAAGAGTGAAGAATGCTTCACTCTTGCCTCCATATATACTCTTAACTAGGAATTATATGGCAATATCCTATAGGACCTCTAAAACGTCTTAACTTTGTAAGATATATTACAAGGCAAGTTTTTCATATGTATACCACATATTTAGCTTGTTTTGTAAACTACCAACATGTGGTTAATTTATTGACCAAGTATTTAATCCACCAATCATTTATAAATACATATAAAATCAAAGTAGCATCTACAAAGCTTCTAAGAAGCTTCTCTAGAAGATATTATGAAATTAATATACTTTTATTTATTTTTACCTACTTCTATCTAATTATATAAGTAATTATTAGAATATGTATGTATATTCATGACATTACTTCTCCTACTAGGGATAAATTTCTTAAGGAGTGGCCATCATATCTGGATGAAATTTAAGATATGATAAATCATATTTGCCACATACTCTGATCTTTGTTCTCTTCAAAGATGGTTGATAGATCCTCTCAGCCATTGATAATGTTCCATACTAGTGAAAAAAATACCACCTTGTTATTTGATCATTGTTGAGGTCTTTATAACTTCTTTCAAATAAAATATTTGTGACACCATCAAGAGTTGTTCTTATCTCTAATAAAATCACCAAATATCGAGAGTCTCTTCCAAAGTCATGATATCAAATACATTCTATCATGTCATCTATCTAAAGAAGGACATGTTGTTCTTGAGGATCTTCATCTTGATTATGTTGACTTGAAGATTGTGACAATTATAATATCTCATTTGATAATTTGGCAAGTGAAAGTTTTTGGATTGAATCTATTAGTTGTTGACTCTCCATATCTTTAGAGTTACAAATACACAAAAGCTATAAAAAAAGATAAAAAGTAGAATATTTTCTTCTTTGGATCTTGTTTCTTTTACAACAAAGATTTGCTATTCTTCATCTTAATTGTAATGGATGTTGTTGATAAAAAGCTTCAACTTTCTTTGCTCTATTTGTAAGTTTCTTTGCTGGCTTCCATGTGTATTTACTAATTTTATATCCATACCAATAAACAAGATATTTCAACTTATTTTGGCATCGTCTTGAATCTAAGACTTCTTCCACTTTAAATTCTTGATTATTATCTACTTCTATAAGAGGAGGGGGCATTTGTCTTTTTCTTGAGATATTCACTATCTTAGAAATATCTTAGCTATTTCTTTATTTATGATAAATTTTGTACATGATACAAAATATGCCATTGTGGTAAAAATGATCTATTAC